CGTTGTTTGACAACTGCTGTAAATGTTTTCAGGTCAAGTCTTCACTCAGTTGTTCAGACTGTATATTAAGGGGCATGAGATTATATATTTCCCTTATATGAATAACGTATATTTTGTTCTACTTTTTTCTGTTTTATGCAATATTTGAAGTAATAAACAAGAACATTTTGCCAAATGAAACTCTCAAAACAGTTAATTAATTCATGATTCCCTCTATGACTAAACGACCATCGAGGCAGACAGAATCACGTACCATTCCCTCCAGTTAAGACCTTCAAAATAAACTCTCAAATTACTGCACTTTATTAGTAATAGCAGGGATGTATTATTTAAAAAGACGCAATGGGGTTGCAAATTGATTCTCCCTGAGGCCTTGCAGCGTTAAAGCAATCAGCTTACCTGGCTGAAGGACAGCCCCATGTTGAGGCTTCAAAAATACACAAACGCTTAGTCGTCGACCTTCATGCATTCAGGCATAGCGACTGAAGAGACATTTGAGTGTATATATAGACTTTCCTGTAATTAGCGCCGATGCGAAACATCTGTGTAGCCCTGACACAGCTGCAGCGCTCAAGGGGACTGTAGTCTTTTCACACAGATGGACTACAAAATGTGAGGGTAAGCATTTAAAAGTACAAACAATTGTGATACCTGTAACAGCATTAGTTCAACATGTCCTGGGGAGTAAATGTTTCTGAAAATGACTTACAACAGGATAATTTTGAGGTTTTTTTGCCTTGCAGACTTTTATGTTCACTAGTTATTCCTTTTAGCAGGTTTTCCCCACTTTCCCAAATAAACAAATAACAAACATCTTCAAAAATCATTTACCTCTTCTTAAATATGAAAAATGAAGTGTTGTAGTGAGAGTTTCCAATCACTACAGATATTGTTAGTCTGTTGGCAGTGCAGCATTTCAAACTGTATCTGGAGATATTTCACAAAACAGGAAGATAAATTCATTTGGCGAACATCTCAGCGAGTCGCTCTGTCGATAATTGCAATAGTTTTGATTCATAGCACTGACACTGTACTGCACCTCTTCAACATTTGGACATCCTTTGTAATTGGGTAACAAACATAACCAGCATCATCTGTCCTGTTCCAGCGTGAACTCTGCGACACTTTGTGTGGAAATCGTCATTACATAACAGTGTTACAGTTGTGTTGTTCACTATGCTGATGTTAACAAGGCCGGTTGTGCTAAACGCTTTGTTTTAGAAGCTGTTTATGAAGAGGACACAGATTAATACTGGAATCATCACTGACCTTTGAGAACTGAATAAACAAAAATGGAGCTTCTGGTGCAATGTTGGTGAGGACACTATAATATGAACATCCTCAGATTGGTACCCAAAAGTTTGTAGAGCAACACAACAGCCTTGTATTCCTGCAAAATCAGGATAAACATTAGATTGGTTCTGTAACATATCCATGTACTGGTGTATAAAGTGCAGCATCAAGATCATTAGTGTGATATTGTGAACCTGGAGTGGTTTTGATTCACACACACCAGTTAAGTTTGACTTCATCACCTTTTGTCAGATTTTGACTGATCATAAAAAAACAGGAACACGCGACACACTCAGAAGACGTTTAAAACACCTGAAAGTCAAACACATCAGGCAAAAATGAGTCTCTGATCATATCACCCGAGAAAGTGGAGTCACTGCTTTAAACAAAATTGTTCAAATTTAACAGATTTAAGCGCAGAATTTGTTCTTTGCACTGAAAAATTTCTACTAAAAGTTTCTTTCTACGAGCTTCAATC